ATTTAAGCTTTCAAGCATTTGATTTATATTGAAAGGCCCAGGGATGTGGAGGGTTAAGGGAATTAATAGCTTGAAACACTGCTGATTTGTATTTTGAAACTGGGAAGGTACACTAGAAAGAAAGTAAAAGAACAAATTTCTTCACACAATATAGTAAGTCGAAAGAGTAGTATTGTCATGGTAATAATACAAAGCCCATGATCCTCCCAAATAGAAAGAGAAAACATACTTTTGTATAGAGGTCCTTTATACTCTCCTTCTGAGTTTAGACTAACAATTTTCATAGTTGGGTGCACAAATACGCACATGCACACTATTATGTACATACTCATTTTTTAAATCTCTGAAATGCCAATCCAATTCTTCTCCAATAAGGACATCATGTATTTGAGTATTAAAAAAAGTAAAGGTAGATGTAGTTGGATATCATTAGAAAGGTAGTGCTAATATAAACCTAGAGAGATTTCAAATCTTACACTGCCTCAAATCAGAAAATGGAGCACTATAAGAACAAATAATCAATTTGTACAAACTAATAAGCTAAGCAGTCCTAAGTGACTGGAAGATAATTTCAAGCATAGTAAAATCCACATCCAGGAAAATGATGTCCAAGAAGTATGTATGTATATATGCATGTATATATGTATGTATGTGTATGCATGCATATATTCATTCATTAGGTATTTGATTATTACCTAGAATGAAAATGTGGAAATATTATTAACTAAAGTGAAGCTATGAAAAATAATAGCAAGATTAATGACTTTGTCATCATCAAAGCATCTAAGATTGTTTTTAGGTGGTATATAGATGTTATTTCATTTAAATTTTTGTTATATACTTAATAGTTTACATATTGTAAAAATGAATATAGTACATTGTATTGAGTTGAAAGGTGTTACCCCAAAATATATGTTAGCACCCTAATCAATCCCCAGAACCCAGGAATGTTACCTTACTTGGAATGTCTTTGAAGAGCCAATTTAGCTATTGATATTGAGGAGATTATCTTGGAATATTTGGGTGGATCTTAAATTCATTGGGCCTCCCTGGTGGTGCAGGGGTTCAAGACACAACACTATCAAGCTATCATCAGCCACTGCAGCAGGATTTGGATTCCAGGCCAAGCAGGGAGCTAACTCACATGGTACAGCAGACCTCTCCTGCCTTGCCTGCTGCTCCCCTTAGCAGTGTATTTCAGTAGATCTACCTGTTCTACTACCCACTCTGGTGAATCCTCTCACCCCCTGTACCCCTGGCTTATACCCCAGTTATTGTATGCATAAATAGAGAAATCTTTAAAAAATTCATTGATAAGTTTCTTTGTAAGATGTACACATATGAGAGGCTCACAGAGACATAGAGGAGAAAGTACTGAGGAAATGCACAGTTAATGGAGTGTTGAGTCCATAAATCAAGGAATATCTTTTTCTACCAAAGGCTGGAAGAAACAAAGAGCAGATTCTGTCCTAGAGCCTCAGGAGAAATTGCAGCTCTTACAAAACCTTTATTTTAGGCTTCTGTTTTTATGTCTGTAAGTGATAAATTTTTGTTGTTTTAAGCAACTGAGTTTCAGTAATTTTTTTTGTGGCAGCACTAAGAAACTCAGAATTCTTTAGATTGCTTAAAACACAATTAATATAGGCATTTGTTTATTTTTAGCTTACCCAATTTTTTTAAAAAATAAGCAAATAATATACATGATAAAGATATGGCAAAATTGTGAGGGTGGTACATAAATTAAATAACAAGTTTGAGAGACAAATATCACTGTGAAGACAAGAGTATTTACATGAAGAATTTGACAATTAGAGAACAAGCAATGAACAGAATCACATCAGTAACTGATACAGATAATTTAGCCATTCAGGGGATAAAGTGCACTATAGATTAGTGAGAGCTGTTATAAAACACAAGCTCTGGGGTCTCCCTGGTAGCACAAGGGGTTAATAAGCAACCTATGAAGCAGTCTGCAGCCCCTGCAGCACTAGTTTGATCCTGGCCAGGGAGCTACCCACATGGTGCAGCAGACCTCTCCTGTCTTGCCTTCTGTTCCCCTCAGCAGTGTATTTCAGTCAGTCTGCCTGTTCTGTTCCCAGATCTGTCTCTGGTGAATCCTCTCACCCCCCGCATCTCTGACCTCTACCCGGGTTCTCGTATGCATAAATAAATAAATCTTTAAAAAAAAAATACAAGGTCTGGGTCCTTGTCCCTGGGTGAGCTGCAGTGCTCTGCAGCCATATTCCACAATCACCCAACCTTTACTAAAGAGATATCCTGGAAATGAGAAGAAACAAAAACAGTGTTTTGCTTATCTACTATCCAGAATTTCCCATACCATTGAGCCAATTTCAAAGTTGCTTCAAATTCTGAAAACTTAGTATACTAAAATAATGCATGGAAAAACATTTTTGGAATTGTAATTAGGTGTACTAAGATCTCAAGATAAGTATTAAGATCTCAAGATAAGGTAGCTATGCATTCTTTTTTTAAAGATTTATTTATTTATTTATTTATTTACACAAGCATTGGGTATAGTCAGAAGTGCGGGAGGGTGAGAGAATTCACCAGAGCCAGAGCGGGGAACAGAACAGGCAGACCGACGAAACACACCGCTAAGGGGAGCAGCGGGCGGCAGGAGAGGTCTGCGCGCCATGTGGGACCCTGGCCTGCAGCCGGGGATCGAACCGGCACTGCAGAGGCTGCGGGCAGCTTCGCAGCCCAGCGCTCAACCGCTGTGCCACCAGGGGAGGCCCGGTAGCTATGCATGCTTGACAAAATTTAACTGGGTAATTTTTATTACAAACACAATAGATTCCCAACACTTGTGATCAGTTTCCTCTTAGTATTAACTATGACTGAACACAAATAACCAGCAGACATTTTGAAACATTTAGCAAGTTTTGATGTACTAATTGTCCATAAATGGCAACAGATGCAAGTAAGATAAGGCATTAAATTGAGATTATATAATTAAAACAATGCCATCCAAATGCACATGTAATTTAAACAAGTTTAATTATACACCAAGGGCAAAACATTTAATAATTAAAAAGTGTGTGTGTGTAAAAAAATGACTTCTAAATACAATCCAGATAACTTTATCTGGCGATTTAAGTAAATAAACAGGCTAGTACTAGATTCACAAGACTGTATACAATGGGTCCCTGAATAATGTCGCTTCATTAACACATTGATATTAAAAAGGAAATCCAAACAGACTTTGAAGTAAATGACATTATTTGAGGCAATGGCTTTGTTATATGTTGTTTTTTTTTTTTTTTTTTAAAGATTTATTTATTTATTTGTTTATACAAACACTGGATACAGTCAGAAGCGCGGGAGGGTGAGAGAATTCACCAGAGCCAGAGCGGGGAGCAGAGCAGGCAGAAAGACCGAGGTACACTGCTGAGGGGAGCAGCGGGCCGCAGGAGAGGTCTGCATGCCATGTGGGACCCTCCTCCGGTGGCCGGGGAGCAGCCGGGGATCGAACCGGTGCTGCAGAGGCTGCGGGCAGCCTCGCAACCCAGCGCTCAACCGCTGCGCCACCGGGGAGGCCCTATTTAAAGTCAATTTTCAAGAACCTATTGTAGTTGTTTACTAGGACTTACTATACATAGTTATACAGGCAATTGAATGGTTTTTCAAGGATTTTTTTAAACTGTATTTAAGTTTCACTTATGCAATCATTTTACAACTCAAACCTGAGCAAAACTGACTTCCAGGTCTATTTTTCTTTTCTTTTCTTTTTTTTTTCTTTTTTGCGTAGAAGAACTGAGGTGTAGGCCAGAGGTGCAGTGGGAGGGGGAGCGAGAGTATTCACCAGAGGCAGAGTGGGGAGCAAAACAGGCAGATTAACTGAAAGGGAACAGTGGGGAGAGACAGGAGAGGTCTGCTGTGCCATGTATGGGTTGGTGCTCCCGCGCCAGGGATCTAACTCAGGCAGTAATGGTGGTAGTGCTGAAACTTAACCCCTAGGCCACCAGGGAAGTCCCCCCAATTTCCACATCTAACACACAGTGTTTGCCTACAAAAATCAGGTAATCTCTTTTGAATACTTGCTCTGGAAGTGTCCAAAGTCACAAATTTCTTATGTATAAAAATGGGAACATTGAGAATACTTATCTGTGATGCTTAATTTTATGTGTCAATTTGGCTGACACAGTTCTTAGATAGTTGGTTAAACATCATTCTGAATGTTGCTGTGAAGGTGATTTTTGGGGTGGTGTATGCATTTAAATGATTGGACATTGAGTAAAGCAGGTTACCCTTCATAAAGTGGGTTAATAGAAAAAGACTGACCTCCAAGCCAGAATTTCTTCCAGCAAACTATCTTTGAACGGCAACTCTTCTCTGCATCTCCAGACTGCCTGCCTACCCCATCAAATTTTGGACTAACTCAAAATATGGACTCCACAGTCATGTGAGCCGATTTCTTAAACATTCTCTCTCTCTGAATGTATCTACATATGTCCTATATATATATATATATATATATAGAGAGAGAGAGAGAGAGAGAGAGATAGATATGTATCTTGTACTTTATATCTATCTATCATCTATGTATCTATCTATCTACCCATCCATCCATTCTTTTATCTATCTAGAGAGAGATACTGAAATATATACATTATGTTGGTTCTGTTTCTCTGGAGAACCCTATTGAATTATCCAACAGAGTTATTGTTTAGATTAAGCAAGACAACATATTTAATCTTCAGAGTGTTTGAAATATGTAATAATGTTAGATAAATGATTGCTGTTGTATACAAAGAGTTTAATCTTGCCCCTATATTACTGATCTATATTACTATGTCTCTTTTCTTTCGGATCCACTCCCTATTTGAACTTGAAAATTGGCATTCAGAAACCTCCCACTATTCACCCTTCCACAGTTTCCAACATGTTGTTAGAAAGAAAAATGAGCATCTATAATGATTACAGGTTGGTATCCAACTATTATGGTTTGGTATTAGTAACTCATTTTTCTGATAACTGACCTGTTTGAATACATGCATTGATCCACCTTCTGATTTAAGTTGGAGTTCCAAGTTGTTTATGAATTTATCCAAATCTGGAAAAGAGAACAGTGAAAGACAATTTTAAAATAACGTCTAAGCTTTTATATGCATACAGCATACCATTTACCTTTGGTTACAAATATTAGTGATCTATGAACATTATTCTTTTTTTAGGATTTACTACACATTTGGGCAATAGTCTGATGTATATATTTTAAACAACAAGATACCCTAAATTGTTCCCACAATATTAGCTGCCCCCTGCACTCAAATCCTATATGAATGTGACTCCTGTTTTTTCCTACCTCTCCAACCCACTCCATCTCCATGGGAATATCAACATACTACTTTCCAGAATCCTTGTGATCCTGGTATAGTTCTCATTCTAAGGAGTTCCATGCTCCTGTGTGGATATTTACCCTAGTGAATTCATTCACACACCAGATCTCTCTAAAGAAACACTTTAACTGTCAACATCTCATAAACATACAAGCCATGTGGTGTTAACATAAGCAGTCCTCTATTTCCTTGTTATATAGTTTTTTCTCCTATGAAAGGAGAGACTCAGAGACTTCAGTCATCTGCACTACACCATCATAGATATTCCCACCAGAAGAATATGGCATCCGCTCTTCAAACAGATGTTCTTTTGTCTATCTACAGTCTAATTTCATTAGAGAGGTTAAAAAAAGATGAATCCACAGTTTGCTGTAACTTAATTTCAATTGTTTTTAGAGAAGTTGAACCAATTATTTTTTTTTTCCTGTGATTCTGATATATTTGATGTTTTGTTTTGGCTAGTGCCTCCAGATTTTTTTTTCTTTTGGCTGGGACTAATGAACTATTTTCCAGGAATGGAGACTTTTGTTTTCCACAATGGACAATACCTGGAGAGACTGACAGTGGTTTTTCTTTCAAACTGGAACACTGAAAAAATTTCATCTGAGGCTACACCCCAGCATCCATACATTTGATTTTCATCACCATAGAAATGGTGGCAAAAGTGAAAGTGGGAATTGTTAAGGGGAAAGGATGTCCTGAGCAAACTCCATACAGGTTTTGTGGACTCCACCCCCACTCCAGACCAGCCATCAAGACACTGGGAACTACAAATCACATCATCACCAAAGGGATGGTTGCTGGGACCTGAGGGTGGAGTTAAACAGCCATGTTGGGTATAAAACCAGACATGTGGTCCTTGGGGGTGTCTCTCTCTTGCCCTCACGGCTCTTGGCTTTTCACCAGATCTCAGTGTGCCATTGGGATTCCAGGACAGCAGAACTGGTAGGATGCATTTACGAATTTATCTCTTTCTTTTTCTCCCTGAGTTATTCATTTCTTCATGTCTCCTTTTGCAAATAAACCCTTTATTAACCTGGTTTTAAAGATTTATTCACTCATACATACAAGAGCTGGGGTACAGGCCAGAGGTGTGGGGCTTGAGAGGATTCACCAGAGACAGATGTGGGAACAGAACAGGCAGATGGACTGAAATACAATGCTGAGGGGAGCAGTAGGGGAAATAGGAGAGGTCCAGTGCACCACGGGGTTGCTCCCTGCCGGGCTGGGGATCGAACTTGTGCTGCAGAGACTGTGGATAGCTTCACAGTGCTGTGCTCAACCCCTTGCACCACTAGGGACGTCCTCTTTGTTAACCTTTTTTGTGTGCCTGCAGTTGAGTATTAATAAGTCCCTTTCAAGCACACGGGTGTGGACCCACAGTCAGGCAACTCATTTCATACCTGATAGCATTTCAAAAAGTAGTCCATAAATCAGTTAATTTTGAGATGTCAAATACAGTTGTACATAGAAATGATCCTTTTACAGATCATACCACAATAGCCATTTAAGACATAATGCAGTTAAAATACAGCAAATGCACAAACAGCGATGATATAAAATTACAATAAAACCACATAAAAAGTAAAAGATAGTGGGCCTCCCCTGGTGGCGCAGCGGTTGAGCACTGGGCTGCGAAGCTGCCTGCAGCCTCTGCAGCGCCGGTTCGATCCCCGGCTGCCAGGCGAGGGTCCCACCTGGCGCGCAAACCTCTCCTGTTGCGCCCGCTGCTCCCCTCAGCAGTGTACTTTGGTCCTTCTGCCAGTTCTGCTCCCCACTCTGGCTCTGGTGAATTCTCTCGCCCCCCCCACACTTTTTTTTTCTTTTTCTTTTTCTTTTTTTTTTTTTTTTTTTCTTTTCTTTTCTTTTTTTTTTTTTTATTATAAATTTTATTTTTATATTCCCCATACAATTGCGACCCCCTTATTTTGACCCCAATCCCTCCCCTCCCCGCCCCCCCACCCCCATAGAGAGTCTCTGGTTCATAGTTGTTTGTTGATTTTGATTTTTACTTTCTTATAGTTATTCTTTTTCCTGGTTCCTTATTTAAGTTTCCTAGATGCCTGCTATGAGTGAGACCATCCGGGCCCTGGTGGCGCAGCGGTTGAGCGCTGGGTTGCGAAGCTGCTCACACTTCTGACTGTACCCAGTGCTTGTATAAATAAATAAATAAATCTTTAAAAAAAAAGTAAAAGATAGGGGCCTCCCTGGTGGTGCAGGCAGTTGAGCGCCATGCTGTGAAGCTGTCCGCAGCCTCTGCCGCGTGAATTCAATCCCAGCCGACTGGGGAGAAACCCACATGGTGCAGCAGACCTCTCCTGACTCACCTGCTGCTCCCCTCAGCAGTGTATTTTATCAGTCTGCCTGTTCTGTTCCCCACTCTGTCTTTGGTGAATCCTCTCACCCTTCCACATATCTGGCTTATACCCCGGTTCTTGGATAAATAATTATATATTTTTTTTAAAAAGTAAAAGTTAAACCTAAAAACAATTCCTTTATTGAATGTCAGGAATGAAGGAAACCAGTCCCAATTAGATGGCAATAATGCACAAAGAACATTCTATTGGGGTTATAAGGAAAGCTTTTGGGCTACTATCAGAGAGAGCTTGGGGAATTTTGAAGCTTTAAAAGATCTTTATTGCATGAAATTTCTTTTTATTGATTTAAGTATATGAGTAGACCAGTTCACACATACATTCATCATTAACCAAAAAAATAAAAAATATAGAAAAAGGCACATTATTATCTGTTTTGTCTCTAGGTCAACCAGAAATAGAGAAACAGCAAATATACCAGAGAACACTAACCTGCAATTTAAGTGCCTGGAAATCACATTTCTGACAAGGTCTTTTTCTTTACAAATTTCTACTTTTCCATCTAGAATTAAAATATTTAAAACCATTCTCTGCAGGGTTCTAAGTCTTCTATGAAGCCTCTAGGAGTCTAGGATTTTGGCTTAACAAAGGAAGAAGTATAGTAAGGAATAAACATAGTATTATATGTAGAAAACTGATTTCCATTAGACTGTAAACTCTTTGAAGACAGAGATTTTGATTTTTGAAGTTTTCTTCCAATGATATATTTCAAGGGCTTAGAATAGCATCTGGCACATGGCAGGTATTCAATACAGAAAATGAGAATGAGAAGTGTGTTTTTGTTCAAGTGCCAGAATTGGACAAGAGTGGGAAAGAATGAAAGAATTAAGAGTACATGCATGAGAGATACTTGAGGTATAATTAGCTATGAAGTACAAGGTAGCAGTGACAACTTATTTTTCTGATTTCAAGGAGGAGGGAAACATAGTCCACAGACGGGCACCAGAAACCCAGCAGATTATACTTGGTTGCTCCCAGAAAAACATGTAGGAGAGAATTTTGTTCTTATTCTCCATTCACATAATTTTCAACTAGGCCTCATTGTTACTAGTCAAAATAATTTATAAGTCATTTCCTAACTGGTATTCTTTAATTGCTATGGGTTATAAGACAACAGTATTGAGAAATCCGACTGACTTTGTCAAGCTATTTAGCTCCTACAAACATTAGTCTCCTCACTTGTGAAGAAGGAGGGTGGGGACGGAAATGGTACTAACTTAATGGGGTTAATATGAGGATTACATAAATTAGTATATAAGGATGCTTGTAAACTAGTTTTTAGCATATAAAAAGATCTCAATACAATTAACTATTATTAGCAGCTGATGTTTCCGCATCTTTAAAATGGGAGTAATGGGCAAAAGAACTTAAAAGACATTTCTCCAAAGAGGAAATGCAAATGGACAACAGGCATATGAAAAATGTTCAATATCCCTTGTAATCAGGGAAATGCAAATCAAAACCACATTAAGATACCACCTTACACCAGTAAGAAAGGCACTTATCAAAAAAACTAGCAATAACAGATGTTGGTGAGGATGTGGTGAAAAAGGAACTCTCCTATGTTGCTGGTGGGAGTGCAAACTTGTCCAGCCCCTATGGCAAGCTGTCTGGAATTTCCACAGTCTACTAAAAATGGAGCTACCATATGACCCAGCAATTCCACTCCTAGCGATCTACCCAAAGGACACAAAAACACTAATTCAAAAGAACACCTATACCCCTATATTTTTTAAACTTTTTTTTAAAATTTATTTATTTATACAAGAACCGGGGTACAGGCCAGATGTGCGGAAGGAAGAGAGGATTCACCAGAGACAGAGCGGGGAACAGAATAGGCAGACTGATGAACTACACTGCTGAGGGGAGCGCGGGTGAGACAGGAGAGGTCTGCAGCATTATGTGGGACCCTTGTCAGCCAGCCGGGATCAAACTGGGGCTCAGAGGCTGCAGACAGCTTCACAGTGCGGGGAAGCCCACCAGGGGAAGCCCATGTACCCCCATTTTTATTGCAGCATTATTTCTAATAAGTAAAACCTGGAAACAACCCAAATGCCCAAAAATAAATGAGTGGATGAAGAAGATGTGGTATGTATACACAACGGAATACTATTCAGCAATCCAAAAAGATATATTCATGCCATTCACAGCAACGTGGATGAAGCTAGAAAGAATTATGCTCAGTGAAACAAGTCAGAAGGAAAAAGAAAAATATCAGATGGTTTCACTTATAGGAGGAATATAGGGGAACCAAATAAAACATCAGTGTAAAAAATAATAATACAAAACACAACAAAACAAAAACAGACAATTATAAATCAGAGACATCCTGCAGGGGA